TTACCATTTTCTTGTTACTATTACGTTAATATCCATTATCCGACCGCATTATGAGCAATCGTACGAGCAGCACTTTAAGTACTATCAGTACTGAATCTGTTGCTACAACTGATACTCCTCAGTGCTCCATTGATTTTTGAGATTTCAAGTTGCCCGTTCTCAGACTCTAATTGCTCGGACAGCAAACGGTTCTAGGAGGTTGTGAGCTACATCGGTAGGAAGAAAATACCACAGTTTGGAGCGATTCTGACGTGGTCCAAAAAACGGCCTTATTGACACCCCTCCTTTGCCGAATAAAATCGTTGGAAAACCTCTCTTAAATTCGAAATCATTTCTTCAAAACTCTTTCCAAAAACAATAATATCATCTAAATAAACTAAACAGGTTTTTCCTAATAATTTTTGTAAAATCTTTTCCATCGCTCGTTTCAAAGGTCGCCGGGGCGTTACATAGACCGAAAGGCATGACGGTAAATTGCCAAAGTCCATTACCGATAGAGAAAGCTGTCTTCTCTCTATCCTCCGGACGGATCTTGATCTGCCAATAACCACTCTTAAGGTCTAAAGTGTGTAACGATGCGCCCCGGGAAACCGCATCGTCCCGGCGACAAACAGCCGAGACCGCCCGAACGAACAGCAGTCGGGCGACGAAACGGCGCGAACGCGCCCATTAGAATTCAGCAAACCCCGCTAGACGGATAAACGTCACACGTTTAAACGGTTAGCGCAGGAGACATAGCGCAGACGCGCTGCGCTCCACGTCTCCCCCACCACCGCGCCAAAACCGGCAACCCGGAGGGTATAAAAAGCCGAGGCGAAGAGCGCCCGGCACCTGTCGTCTACGAGCCATCCGACCGCTCCGGCTACGAGACGAACCTGCTTCCTGAAATAGTCGAGAAGTCACGAGTCGTGGTTTCGGTCTAGTTGTTCTGGACGACTACTTCAAAATCCTCTCGCTATCCTCTCGGCTCTCGCTCCCGGGTAACGAGTCTTTGCCCGTGCCACGGGTTCGTGGCGAGCGATCCGGCCGACCCATCCCATTTCGAATCGGCAGCACTTCGGGCCCCGTGTTCGGGGCCGAAAGCCCAGTGTCTTGGGCGCCTATTCGAATCCCGACCGACACCTTCCGGGAAACGCGCGACAGCCACCACATGGCATTCGCCGCCGTGACACGCTCCTAGAGCGTGCCGCCGCGTCACCGCGCTACACGCCAGCCGCGACCCTGCCGCCCGAGTTACACGGTGCGAAGCACCGCCGTCGTCCGCGTCACCCGTGGCGCGACTCACCGCGGAC